TGCATTACCGCCACCTATCTCTCAAATGAACCATTGACACTCTATCTACAATCTCAATTAGGAGTGACAATGGTCCATTTGAGAGATAGGTGGCGGTAATGCAACTATCCCTTTAAAAGTGCATTTTATTTCATATTCATGGTGTCCCAAAATAGCACAGTTGAGTTTAACCCCCTACTTCTTCTTCTACACATTTTCCCATATTCCAGCCTTGACGGCAGACCTCAGACTTCACTCTGATGGCTCAGCGGCTGCACATGCATGCGGCCCGCGCTCAGTGGGCGCTGGTCATGTTCTTCCTGACGTACCTGGCCACATTCGCCATTGAGTTTCGCCACTACCACTTCGAGATCGTCTGCAGCGACGAGCAGGAGCCTCCACTCAGCCTCTCCGAAAGCTTCTCAGAGGTCTCCGAGTACCAGTCTGACCAGCTCTAGTCTCTTCCAGTGTTCGCCAGTGATCAGTCCTGCATGTCAGCTGAATGTAATCTCTCTAGAAAGGCCTCCGGACGAGTACGTCTTTTGAATGTGTAGATAGGCTTTCGCAAAAGCAACAAATTCACGAAATGCACAAGGATTTACTGTGACGTGTTCCATGTTTGTGTGTCAGATGAGCGAAGCAACAAGGACACTTCCAAGGAGAACATCTGAATACAGGAACAGTTTTTGGCAAGATAATCTGTTAAGAAACATTCTGTTTATATTCTGTTGTCGTCACTTCAAATCCGTACGCTGTTATTTTTTCTGTGGAAGATCTAAGAGCTTCCGAAGAATCTTTACACGGCGTACAGATTTGGAAACTTCATTTAAAGGGACAGTTCACCCAAAAATAAAAATTTGGTCATCATTTGCTCACCCTCAAGTTGTTCCAAACCTGTAGTTTCTTTCTTTTTTTGAACATAAATAAAGATATTTTGAAGAATGTTGGTAAGCAAACAGTTGCTGGTAGCCATAGAACGAAAAAAAAAAATACAATAGAAGTCAATGGCTACCGTCAACTGTTTGCTCACCAATATTCTTCAAAATATCCTCTTTTGTGTTCAACAGAACATACAGGTCTGTAACAAACTGAGGGTGAGTAAATTACCATTTTTATTTTTTGGTGAACTATACCTTCGATATTGAATCACAGATGGTTTGTATTCATGTAACCGCATTACATTTTAAACCGGTCCTGCATAATCTTAAAAGAAGCTTATGCAGCTTTTTATACTTGATGTTAAGTATTGTAAAACATCTCTGACATTGGTCATGATCCTGTATTTTGTTACTAAAACAGACATCTGTTCTCGGGTGCTGGTGTATCTAAATGTTGCAAATGTGATTTGTTCGATGTGTCCGTTTGGAATAAAATTTTACAACAACATTTAAGACTGAGGTTTATAAGACATGAGGTACAATCACACTAAACCTGTGTCTAGTTGGCAGGTTATCATATTTTATATCACTGCACATGTGGGGGATAAAGACATGAATATGTCATATGCTACACATTAACACCGCATATAAAACATTCAAAGAGAATGTGAGTGTATGATAATTCACAGATGGGTTTCAGTGTAAAAAACAAGCACCTGGGAGGCTTGGCGTTTCAGTCCAGTGGAATAACAACACATAGTAACCGCTGGTTTTCACATGATCCGATGCTGTTCTGTGCTGTCAAACGTTCCCGCTCAGCTCTAACTGGTTGAAAGATGGGAGGACTCTATAATGGCTCCTCTCCTCTTCGGTTAACTCCGTGTTGCCAGGTCTAACTACCATGATCACGTTCACCCCAGCATCCTCTGCTGCCTTTGCCTCTGTAAGGGAGATTTAATGACACTGAATTAACACTGAACCCTCATGTGATTGTGGCACAAGCGTGTAATGAAAATGAAAAGCATGCACGCACCTCGTGTGACGTCGGTTAAGAACATGATTTCCTCCGGTTGGCATCCAATCCTCTCCGCGATGTTCTCATAGCTCTTACTTTCTACTTTGGCACCAATGTTAGTGTCGAAGTGACCATCAAACAGCTGAGAAAATAAATGTAAAAATTCTAAACTTGCAAATCTACATCAACTCATTTAAGCTTGTGAATCTGTATCAAGCAAACACTTTTATTTCTAGTATTCCCTGCGGAGGGATCACCGTTTCTTGGCTTTAATAATAAAGGCATAAATGTGATTGTCATTTATAATCCTTTCTAGATCACTATGCATTACTTATTTTGACCTTTACTGAAATACCATATCTAAAGCTATTTTTATTTTTTATTTCCTGGTGAACCTTCATTACGGATTGCCGACTTTCTTGGTAAAAAAAGAAAAGAAAAAATTTTGGTGGTTACTGCTGGCCAGTGATTACAAAAATTAACACTATTTAAAAAAAAACATTTACATCAATTCAAATAAAACTGAAATAAAATATAAATATTAAATGCAAAAAAAGAACATTAGAAATACTGCCTTAGCATTAGCAACAAACTGAAATATAATAAGTGTTATTTAATATAGAAAAATAACAATAAAAATATAAAATATAAATTAAAAATAAATAAATAAAATAAAACTAATGAGAAAAAGAACACACCAGTGTTGTCACCTTTATATATATATAGAGAGAGAGAGAGAGAAATATTAGATGGAAAAACAAACTTAGCCTTGGTAAATAACTGAAATGAATAAGTTGAAGTACTAAAATTGCTAAAACTACAATAAAAATACATTACCGCTAAAGACAAATAATAATAATAATAACTTTTCTAAAATGAAAACTGATATAGAACTAAGAGTTAATTCAAAATATTAGTATTTCAAATATTTTACTTTTTTTTTTTTACCATTTTAATTAAATAAATAACAATGCAACCCACAAGAAAACTGGAATTTTACCTAAAATTAAAACTAAAAATACAAAAGATAATTGAAAATATTAATAAATACTACAATAGTCTAACACCACTAAAAAAATAACATTACTGCTGGCATCTTATTAAAAAAAAGGAAACTAATCAATAAGTAGACTGATAATCATAAAAGCCACTGTAGGAGCAGCAATAATGTACAATCAGCTGGACATCAGTGCAAAATAAACCACTTCAGAGTGACACAGCATCTGAATAGTGCCAATAATGACTAGCCTACAGGACACGACTCCTTACATGATTAATCACATTAATAAGTCCAGTGGGTTTGGCGATGCACATCCAGACTATAGAGACTAGAGATCTGAATCTCATGCGAGCACAAGAAACTACATCGTGCTGTTCAGACAGCGAATGCCATCTGATAGTGCTTATAATTACTGATCAAGCTTACATCTAAGAGATCTCCTTCGACAGAGTAGCCAAAGAGCAGCTTCTGCGCCTCCACACTTCCTGAGGAGTAGATGAAGACCTTCAGACCTCCACGCCTCCACCGTCTGACGGCTGGAACCACATCCGGGTACACCCTGCGACAAAACCACAGCAACACTATAACATAACTCTCTGGTACTGCATCTAGTGACAACAGGAATATAATGAGCCTACAGAGCATGGGATATAAATATACACTATCATTACAAGTTTGGGGTCAGTAAGATTTATTACATTTTTGATGGTTGAATGTTTGAAAGTCTCTTCTGCTCACCAAGACTGCATTTATTTGATTAAAATACAGCAGAAAAACACAAGTATTGTGAAATATTATTACAATTAAAAATAACTTTTCTATGTGAATATATGTTAAAAAATATCATTTATTGCTGTGATGCGCAGCTGTATTTTCAGCATCATTACTGCAGTGTTCAGTGTCACATGATCTTCAGAAATCACTCTAATATGCTGATTTATTATCAATGTTGAAAACAGTTGTGCTGCCCAATATTTTTATGGAAACATTTTTTCAGGATTCTACGATGAATAGAACATTCAAAATAACAGCATTTATTTGAAATGGAAATCGTTTAGAACATGATTTTGTATATGCTCTGTTTTAAAAGTCTTATCGGTCACTTTTGATCAATTGAAGGTGTCCTTGATTAAATAAATTATTAAAATGTATTATTCTTCCCCTGTAAACCTATCTGTTCATTTCTTTCATTTTTATTATTTTATGCATCTTTATTTTTCCTCTCTATTGTGTATACCGTATATGGATATATTTCTTCTGTTTGTTCTGCTAGAAATTTGAAATCAATATTCTCAATAAAAGTATTAATAAAAAAACTTTTGAACAGCAAAAAGTTTTTATTATTATTAAATATTATTTATTTTATTATTAAGTATTAATAAAAAAACTTTTGAACAGCAGTGTATTTTGTATTGCATTTTGTCTGTGTTGTATGCAGGATAAGACGTAGGAAATTGTAAAATCACATGATTTTTTTCATTTAAATACAGAAAATAGTTTTTTACAATCAAAGACATAACTGACAGATTACTCTACTATGAGAGTAAGAGTTAGTGACAGGTTATACAATCACCACGGATACCAAATGTATATAATCGAGTTGAACAAATTTCTGAGAGACACAGAATAACTACATACAGTAAATGTTGTAGTTAGGCTGTAGGCTGCACGTGAGTGTTTTGCGTAATACTTGTTTATAGATCTGCTGTTTGAATTATTACTTTCTGCTAGGAAGGAATATTTCGTTTTCTGCCTATTTCTACGTTATATTTTTGTTTGCGTTTGTATTTTTGATTGCACTTTCTGGTAATTATAATAATTGCCCTCGGCAAAGAAGGAGCGCGTGTAATTTAATTGCTCCC